TCCGGTCCAGGGAGGTGCAGACGGTCAGAGTAGGCACTGCAAGCCCAGAAGACAGAGCCAGGACGTACAGCAAGGGCTTCTGGAGGAGGCGCCACCAGAGCTGGGCCCAGGAGAAGCGAGATTCAGACATGTAGAGAAGGGGGGTGTGAGGACACGGAGTGGGGAGAGGGCAGGTGTAAACAAGGGACAGGTGAAATCCCTCTGCTTCCCAATGGCTGCCTGCCACGAGCAGAGGCTGAGATTTGGCACAGCGGCCCCAGGAAGAGGATCAAGGGGTGTCCATCACCACCCAAGCCAGGAGGGCAAGGGGCCACTTACCTCGTCATCTGACTGCAGGTACATGTGCGCAAACTCCAGCAGCTCCCGAAGCTCAGCTGTCTGGTTGTGGTAGAGCATGGCCTCCTGGGAGGAGGGAAGGAAAGTGAGGTGAGCCAGGCCCTGCTGCCAGATGGTGGAGGAGCCAGAGCTCCTAGGATCTGGGCCCTCTGGCCCTTTCACGGCTCGAGGAGCAGGGAACAGGTATCAGTTCCCATGCTGGTCGAAAAATCACAGCTGCTTGAAGCGCCGGGTTAAGAAGGATTCTGAGGGCTCAGCGAGAATGAGTGCCTAAATCGATTCGCAATGTCTGCTACTGACAAGGAAGTCGGGAGTGGTACCACGTGTCCCATATTTGCCAGTCTTGCCCTAGAATTCCAAGGGGTTCCTCAGTTGGTCCAGGTTATGGGGTCCCTGGGGAAGGAGGGCAAAGGCCAGCAGTGAGCATGGTGAGAGTGGGTTAGGGAGCAGGCAGGGACAGATATTTTTTACCTCCCACATGCCAGGCACTGTGCTGGAGACGTAGGCTGTTCCACCCCCATTTTGCAGGTGAGGCAACAGATTCAGAAAAGGCCAGTAGTGTTCCCAGGACCACACAGCTGCTAGGTTTGAACCTAGGACTCCGACTACAACCCAAATTCTTTCTCTTTATTTCTCACCCTGCCTTTGGAGGAAGCCAGGTTTGTTTGTTTTAATCAAATCGCATATCCTGAGAATGCCTCGGCAATGCCCACCTCCCTGGGCTGGAAGTCCTCCTCCTCCAGGCCCCAGCGGGCCCTGTGGAAGCGATAATACACCAGGTTTTGCTGCATGACATTGTCTTCGGGGTCAAAGAGCATGTAGCTGGCGGCACTGCGGGCGGCCTGGCGCACGTCGTTCACTGCAGGCAAGACAGGAGTGAGTAGTGGCCCTGGCACTTCCCCACCTTCAGGGATAACCCTCAACTAACCCACCCCTATCTCCCAATTTAGTCCAGTGCCCCTGGTTCCCCAGCTGCCTCCCAGAATACCTGTTGGGCGCCTCACCCCACCCAATAATAATACAAGCTAGAATGTATTGGGCACTTACCTTATGCCCCATGTAACTCATTTAAGCCTCACTGTTACTGTCATCCCCATTTTACAGATAAGAAATCTGAGGCACAGAGAGGTCAGGTAAACTGCTTGAGCTCACACAGCTGGAGAATGATGGCACTGGGGAACCAGAAGCCGGTGGCCCAGCCCTCAACCTGTTTGCCAACTAGAACACAAAGGGTCTCCTGGCCCTTGGTCTTCAGCTCCTCCTCTCCAACTCCAGCCTGTCTGAATCTTGGCATCTCTGCATTGCAGAAACCCTGGAGATTGACCATCTTAGCCCCGGCTGATGCCAGAATCCCCCGTAAGTGAGGACAGCCTTAAGTGCTAGTGCTACTTTTTATTAGCCACGTTAACTAATGGCCCCTTACCCTCTGTGAGCCTCGGCTTCCTCATCTGAAAAATGGGTCCAGTAACGCCAGCTACCGGTTGCTTGTGAGAGGCTCAAGTGAGATAAACAGATGTGGCAAGGCTTTGTAAACTGTCAAGTGCTGTGCAGTTGTTGACTATCTAGTCATTTACCCAAGAGGCCCTGGCATTCTCCCCCGAGGCTGCTCTCTGTTCCCCGCCACAAGCTTCTCACCTGCCTCACCACCCACAGCCTTCCCTCCCATCACCAAGGGTCCTCAGTTCTGGCTCGGCTTCATTCCCAGTGCAGTGCTCTCCCCCACCACAAGCCCCCCAGGAGGCTCACACTTGTAGTAGGCAAACTGCAGGTAGTGATACATGGTGGCCACGAACTTCTCCACGAAGTAGCCGCCCACGTTGGGGGTCAAGTTGGCCTCACAGTCCACCTTGCACTGCAGGGATTCTGCAAAGAGATCTGGGGGTGGGGGTGGCAGCGGTGAGGAGCTGGTGTACTGAAGAGCTCCATCCCGCTGACGGGGATGACGGCCGATGGCTTCCAGTCCCAGCTCTGCCTGCTGATCCCACGAGACAGTCGAGGGACAAGGGATGCTGCGGAAGCCTACAGTGGCCCGGGCTGACTTATCACCCCCACAGCTCACCCACCACCCCAAAGCCAGAGGAAGCCAGGGCACACTGGGAGGTTGGCAGGTGAGGCCTGGAGGTGGGACTGAAGCCCAAAGAGAGAAGCTCAGGACAGTCCCTTCTGCCCCTGCTGAGGGACTCCGACCTTAGGGATCCCCAGACTAGATGTGATTTCTGGCCACAAACTGCTATCTGCACACACATGCTGGGTCGTTTCCCACCTCAGCAACTTTGCACCTGCGTTGCCCTCTGCCTGGAAGGCCCATGAACCCAAACTCCCCAGACCCTTTTGGGATGTCACCTCCTCTCTGCACCGATGCCCAGCACCTTGGACACTCCCTACCGCAGCCCCCTGCACCCAGCGGCAGGTGTTCTGTTGGTTCCTCTCAGCCAACGCCGACTGAAGGGTCTGAGGGTAGGGATAACACCTCATGCCTGTCCGCCTCCCAAGCACTTAGCAGGCGCTCCATAAATGTGTATGGAATGAATATTTGTGTTAAGGTGCCTTAGAAGTTCTGGGAAGCAGGGCCCTGCGGATGAAAGGGATGCCCACCGGGGTAGATACCTGCTATGGCTGGATAGAAGTCCTTGAAGTCCACCTGCTCGTGGGCCCCCTCGCAGCCAGCCAGACACCGGGCAAAGACGGCCATGTACTCGGCCAGGGCCCGCTCCATGTCCTCGGTGCTGCTACGGAAATCTCCGCTGTTGTAGAGCTTCACAGCCCGGAGGAACACGGCCTAGGGGGAGGGGACGCGCGGCACAGGGGTCAAGGGGACCCCCACACCTCCCCTCCCCCACGGGCCCTATGGGGGACTCAGAGAATTGCGTCAGGGCTGGCCCTACCCTGGCACCCCACCTCATAGGGCTGGGCCTCCAAGTCCGTGAGGGGCTCGTCGGCGGCGTCCAGCAGCCCGCGATAGTAGTTGAGATACTTGGCGGTGAGCTCGTGCTTCGGGTTCCTCTGAAGGAAGGTGTAGGCCGCGGCCACCGCTTTCTCCAGCCGGTTCGCCTGCGGCGTGGGGACAGGGCCGGTCAGCAGGGCCAGAGCCCGCAGCCCCGAGCACACGCGAGGAGCCGCGCTCCCCCAGACCCGACTAGGAGGCGCCGCCGGCTGCGCGCACCTTGAACTGCGCGTAGTGCAGGTACTGGTAGGGCAGGCGGCTCTGGAAGTCGCGCAGCAGCTGGCGCGGCGGGTAGGGCACCTGGAAGGCGGGCAGCGAACGCTTGCAGCGCCGCAAGCAGGCGGCACGCTCCAGGACGTGGCCGAAGAGCCGCAGCTCGCGGGCCCACTCGTCGCCGCGGCCGCCGTCGGGGCCGGGGGGCGCGGGCCCGGGGGGCGCGGCGGCGGGCGGCGCGGGGCCGCTGCAGTTGGCGTGGCAGAAGGCCTCGCTGTCCCGCAGCAGCCGGTGCAGCCGCAGCGCGGCCTCGAGGTAGCGCGCGCTCTCGCGCCAGCTCTCGCCCTCGTACTGCTCCAGCGCGTGCCCGTAGGCCGCGGCCAGGGGCATCAGGTCCTCGGGCGGGAAGCCCCGGAAGCTGTACTTCTCGTACTGTGCCCCAGCGCTGCCCAGCAGCAGCCACAGCAGCCCCCACGCCGCCCGACCCATAGCCCCCTCCGCGCCGCTGTCTCTTCCCTCCGCGAGCTGGCGTCCCGGCCCAGCTGCCGGGCCGGCTGGCGGGCTCAGGGGCCCGGGACTGGCCGGCGCGCCCGCTGGGTCTTAGCGCCTGGTACCGGGGGCAGCGAGGCGGGGTCGTGGCTTGAGTCAGATCCCCCGAGGGGCCGAGGGCTGTGTCTCCACTCTTTTAAGAAAGCCAACACTATCCTGAGTCTCCGATCTCCTGCCCTTGGGGGTCCTCCCCTTGGCAGATGGTGAGAGGGTGGAGGAACAGTTCCCGCAGGGATGCGGAGCCCAGAAAGCCCCTCCCACACAAAGACAGTCCCCCCCGCCCCCGAGACCTTAATATAGAGAAATTGAGGGAAATGCCACCTCACTCTACTTTACCCAAGCCCTGGAACCTGCTCTTCCATCAGAGCGGTCCTTCTGCTCACTCCCCACTCCCAGCCCCGAAAAGGTTCCTGCAAGTGTCCCCCCAGCCCGCGACGGGGAGGCACACCCCCGGTTTTACCCCGCACATCCTCCACTCTCACCACCTCCCACTCGATCTCCATCCCCACGTCAGAAAGTCCTCTGGCAGTCCAGCTTTTGCAGGACAAAGCAGCCCGTCCCTGGAGAGGCCGTCCCTGGGGCAGAAGGGGTGGGAGGGAGCACTGAGATACCCCTCCGATTCTGGAGCCTCACCAGCCACCTGGAGAGACCTAGATTTGGGGTTGCCAGCCAAAGAAACAAGGGATGCTTCAGTCCGGCTTTAGGACCCGGGGGGCTCCAGAAAAAAGACTGAACTTTTTTTTTAAGTCGGCTCCGACTTTCCCAACTTTCCGGAACTTCCCTACCCCTCCCAGGTCTCTCAGCCCCAGGGTACGGGTGGGGGAAAATCTGGAGGGCTTTGTGGTGCTTTCCTCGTACTCTAAAGCTATCAGCCTGGCCCTCCTCCTCCAATTCCACACCCCTTCCCCCCACTCCCACCCCGCCAGCTCAGCCTCCCCAGCCCCCATTCCACGTGGACCAGCCAGGGCGGGGGTGAAGATGGAGGACAGGAAGAGGGGGAGCCAGCTCTGGGAGGAGGGGGGCCAAGGAGTCTGGCGGCGGCGGCGGCTCTCTCGCACGCCCTCACTGCCGGCCGTCCCAGCTCCAGGCACCATGTTCCGCGCGGGGCGCCCCAGCCACATCGTCCTCCGGTCGCTGCTGCTGCTACTGCTGCAGGCCGTGGGGAGGGGGCTGGGCCGCGCCAGCCCGGCCGGGAGCCCCCTGGAAGATGTGGTTATCGAGAGGTACCACATCCCCAGGGCCTGTCCCCGGGAAGTGCAGATGGGGGATTTTGTGCGCTACCACTACAACGGTACTTTCGAGGACGGCAAGAAGTTTGACTCGAGGTAATGGCTTGGGTGCCCCCAGACTCACCATTTCCTTTCCCGGAGCCCGGGACCAAGCTCTCTCAGTCCTGGGGTTCCCTCGTTGCTGCTTTTAAGCTGTGTCTGCATGCTCCCTACTCACACCGTGATCCCCTAACCTCAAACACAGCACCCTGGGTGGGGGGACTCCTAGACGTCCATCTCCCCAGACATCCCTGCCCTCAATTTCAAACCTTCGCCTCTCAGAAGACCCCTGTTTCTTTCACACAAACTCCCTCTGTCTCTCAGAGTGCTTGAGAATCAAGGTGAACTGCTCTATTTACTTACCAGTGCTCTATTTAAAGACATAGAGGGGGTTTTCTGGTCCACAGAGTTGGGGGGAAGGGCATGGTCCCTGCTGCATGTGAATCCTCCAGTGGTCTCAGCCCAGCACCCTCTACCTTTCCATCCACCCTGACTCCCTTTCTGGTTCCAGCCACAGGTTTCAGTGCCTTTGTGTTTAGAGAAGAAGAAGTAAGTAGAGTTTGGGGGGGAGGGGGAGGGGGGTTTAGCAGCCAGTGGGGTAAAGCAGGTGGGCACTCTAAGACAGCAGGATGGATCAGGGAGTGCAGGGCATAGCTTGGTGTAAGGACCCTGTCTGCCTTCATGTCACACAGTCACACATGCCACCCTGGGCTCCTCCGAGGGTTTTCATGCCTCCCTCTCCCCGTGATCCCGCACCCTCATCTCCCTCCATCTTAGCTCGACCAAGTCAGTGCTGCCGCCCATCTTGCCAGCCTTGGGGTTTGAGAGATGGGTTTCTGGTCTGTGTCCAGGCTTTCCGTCTGCTCTGGCAAGTCCATTTCTCTCGGTGGGGGCAGGGCTGTACGCCAGGCCAGCCTCAGTTAAACCTTGGGTCCAGGTCGCACACACAACTCGGCCTATAGAAATTAGTGGCTTTGGAGGCAGGAAGTTTATTGGGTAAGAACACGAACTCCTGAGACCAAGACCCTGGACTCAAACCCAGGCTGTGATCATGGACAAGGAGTTTTGCCTCTTTAAGCTTTACTTTCCTCATCTGAAAAAAAGGAGATTAAAAAACAGTCTGGACAACTGCATCCCTACTTCCTATGGACAACTGCGTCCCTACTTCCTATGGACAACTGCATCCCTACTTCCTAAGGCTGATGTTAGGACTCAAGATGATGAATGAAAGTGAACGTCACACAGTACCTTACGGTCTGCAAGCGGGCTCAGTACACATTAATTAGCCTTGACTCTGGGGAGAACTTTGGTAGTGTTTAACTGGTAGAAGCTTCTTGCCATGCTTGGGCTCTCACAACGGCACTGTGGAGGAAGCAGGCCGTACAACCAGCTCAGTGGGCAAAATGCGGCATAGGCAGTAGACAGGAGTACAGCTGTGAGCCTGTGGCCACCAAGGAGTGGAGGAGGGGTTGGGAGTTGGAGAATGACCTCCCTATCGGGGATTCTGATGGGGACTCTTGGATCCAGGTTGGATCCAAGCAGTGCTGAGCTTGGAAAACTTTCACAACCCATGACACCTTCCATCAAAATAATAATCTCCCATCTTTCCTTAACTGCTTAAACTTAAAACTAACTAAATCAAGTAAAAGCCATGGCGATTTCAGAGTAGCCTTTTTCAAAATTGAAAACCAATCCCTATCCCCAGCCAGCTCTGCTTTCCCTTCCTTTTTTCTGTGAATTGATGGTGCAGTGGCCCAAACATGGGCTTTGGAGTTCAACAGACCAAACATTAGCTGTGTGACCTTGGCCAAATCATTTGGTCTCTCAAGTCTCAATTTTTCTCGTAAGAAAAATGAAATCAATAATGCCCGTTTCGGGAATTCCCTGGTGGTCCAGTGGTTAGGACTCGGCACTTTCACTGCTGTGGCCCGGCTTGGCCCGGCTTTGATCCCTGGTGGGGGAACTAAGATCTCACAAGCTGCATGGTGCGGCAAATAATAATAATAATGCCCACCTCACAGGGGAGAGAATTAAATAAGATAATGAATGCAGGGACTTCCCTGATGGTCCAACGGTTAAGGCTCCGCGCTCCCAATGCAGGGGGCCCGGGTTCGATCCCTGGTCAGGGAACTAGATTCCGCATGCCACAACTAAGAGCCCACATGCCGCAACTAAAAGATCCCGCATGCCGCAACGAAGATCCCAAGTGCCACAACTAAAGATGCGGCGCAGCCAAATAAGTAAATATTTTTAAAAAGATAATGAATGCAAAATGCCAAGAATTTCTTCGGCCTTATCATTTAAGTGCTGGATAGCTGGTCTCCCCACACCCCTCCCCCCACCCCGCCCTGGGTCTGCACTTCCCACTCCTTTTCTGTCAGCAGATAGCAGCAGCAGAAAGGACTGCTGGCACCATCCCCCCCACCCCAGGGTAGATAAAAGCCCCTGGCCTCCTGGAGGACTTCCTTTTGTAACAGCCCATCCTATTAAGGTGGGAGTCACGGCCCACCGAGGAGGGAGGCTTGAAGAGTTGAGAAGCCTGTGGATCTACACCTTTGTGTAGGGAGGGGGATGGTGTGTGTGTGTGTGTGTGTGCACTTGTGTGCACCTGTGCATGTATGTGACCATGGGCAGAGGCCACTGTATCCCATCTGTCCCCTCCCTCCCCAGCTATGACCGCCACACCTTGGTGGCCATCGTGGTGGGCGTGGGGCGCCTCATCACCGGCATGGACCGAGGCCTCATGGGCATGTGCGTCAATGAGCGGCGACGCCTCATTGTGCCTCCGCACCTTGGCTATGGCAGCATCGGCGTGGGTGAGGAGAGCTGGGGCCCAGGCATGGGGGTGGAGGAGACCAGGAGGCAGAAGCAAGGGCCCAGGGCCAGAAAACTGAAGCTCAGAGAGGGAGAGCGGCTTTCCAAGGTCACACTGCATGCGCAGCAGAATGAATAGCGCGGCAGGTCTGGGACTAAACTTTTCCGTCTCCTGCCCCTGGGGCGGGAGGAAGGGCAATAACAGGGCCCTGGGTAGGATCCTAGCTTGACCTGGGAGAAGGGGAACTAAGAATGGTGGAGCGGGAGGCCAAGCAGGATGCTCAGACCTCCACTCCACCCCCCACTCCGGGGGGCTGCACCAAACACAGCGGGGCTTATTCCCCCGGATGCCACCCTCTACTTCGATGTGGTCCTGCTGGATGTGTGGAACAAGGCGGACACTGTGCAGGTGAGCACCTTGCTGCGCCCGCCCCACTGCCCCCGCATGGTCCAGGACAGCGACTTTGTCCGCTACCACTACAACGGCACGCTGCTGGATGGCACTGCCTTCGACACCAGGTAAGGGCTGGAAGGAGCCCTGGGGCGCCAGGGACTGTGGCATGCAGCGGAGAGTCGGGGGCCTTCCTGCCTCTCCCACCAACAGCAGCCTCACCCCTCCCTCATTCTCTGCAGCTACAGTAGAGGTGGCACTTACGACACCTACGTGGGCTCTGGCTGGCTGATCAAGGGCATGGACCAGGGGCTGCTGGGCATGTGTCCTGGAGAGAGAAGGAAGATCGTCATCCCTCCATTCCTGGCCTATGGCGAGAAAGGCTATGGTGAGGGCGAGCAGGGACTTGGGGATTCTCTAGAAGTGGGCTGCCACATATAGTTGTTCAGCCCTTGGTGATCACCTCACTAAGAAGGGGTGCTTGGGTGGTTAGGACTCGGCACTATCACTGCTGGGGTCCGGGTTCAATCCCTGGTTGGGGAACTGAGATTCCGCAAGCCTCGAAGCACAGCCAAAAAAAAAAAAGGTGCTTTATTCGGATTCAGACAAAGGCTCATATGGGCTGGTGCTGGCCCGGGGGAAAGCTCAGCTCAGGCCTCACAGGGGAAGAACCGGGGCTGCTGATGGGCGTCAAAGGCTCTGGAAAGCAGGGTTAGCACCTTTTTGCACGGTGCTCACGTAGGCCTTCCTGAGTGGAGAAGAGCCCTGCTTTGCTCTCCACGTGTATGGTTCAAGCCTATCCCTTCCCCAGGGACTGTGATCCCCCCGCAGGCCTCCCTGGTCTTCCAAGTCCTACTGATTGACGTCCACAACCCAAAGGACGCGGTCCAGCTGGAGACACTGGAGCTGCCACCTGGCTGCGTCCGGAGAGCCGTGGCTGGGGACTTCATGCGTTACCACTACAATGGCTCCCTGATGGATGGCACCCTCTTTGACTCCAGGTCCGGGGGGTCCTGAGGACGACGGTGGGGGCCGGGGGCGGCTCTGTGCTGCGGGAAGGGTGGGGCCGCTGTGACTCTCTTGCCCGCCTCCCCGCCTTGTATTGCAGCTACTCCCGAAACCGCACCTACAATACCTATGTGGGGCAGGGCTATGTCATCCCAGGGATGGACCAGGGACTGCAGGGCTCGTGCATGGGGGAGCGCCGGAGAATCACCATCCCCCCGCACCTTGCCTATGGGGAGAACGGGACTGGTAGGCATGCTCCCTGTTCCCCAAGCCAACACCTCAGTTCCTCCTGACCTTCCCCCTGATGGGCAGGGGCGAAGGGGGTGGGTTCCAGCCATTGCTCTGCCCCTCCCGTCGAAAAAACTGGTCCCCCACCCAACTCCTGCCACAAGGACTCCATCCTTTTCTCCAGGGGGCAGTCCCCCACTTCTCCCCTTCCACACTGGAGAAAGGCAGCCGACTCCTGAGCTTGGGGAGGGAGGGTGGTTATGGAAGAACAGAAACAGCATAGCCCTGGGAAGCAAAGAGACCTGGATTTGAGTCCCAGCTTTGCTGGAAGCCTTTGTGTGCTCACCTGTAAAATGGAACTAATCACATCGATCAGCAGGGTGAGTTTTTGGGAGGTTGCAAGATACATATGGAAAAGGCCTTCCAGCTGGCGTGCCCCTCCCCTCGCCTGCCTCCTCACCACCACAGAGTATATTACAAGAGTTGACTATGTGGACAAACATCCCATCCCATCCTTGTTTAAAACCCCAGGATGGGGAAGGTCTGGGGCCTCCATGGAGACCTAGAGCAGCCCCTCCTAGACTCCAGCTGATCCACGCCCCCATTCTGGCCCCAGGAGACAAGATCCCTGGCTCTGCTGTGCTGATCTTCGACGTCCACATCATCGACTTCCACAACCCTGCAGATCCAGTGGAAATCAAGACACTGTCCCGGCCCCCGGAGACCTGCAATGAGACGGCCAAGCTTGGGGACTTTGTTCGCTACCACTACAACTGCTCTCTGCTGGATGGCACCAAACTCTTCTCCTCGTGGGTCCGGGGCAGGGCCAGGGCTGGGCAGGTGGGTGGGCCCAGGCGTGGGGAGTCCTCCTAGCAGCACCCCTGACCCTTCCTCCCTAAGTTCCCATCTAAGCTGAAATTCTTAAGTCCACAAGCAGAGGGAGGGTGAAGTAAGCAGTAGGGGAGCTGCTCGTTCCACTCAGTGGAGGGAAACGAGCAGGGAGAGATGAGCCCCCGGCCACATGGCAGGGCAGTTACGAGATAAGGGGATTGATCCTATCTCTGCACTGCTGGGTCCCCGCCCCCTGCCCTGGACCTGCCAGGGACCAGGATGAGCACTGACCCGGGAATCTGCTCTCCCCCCAGCCACGACTACGGGGCCCCTCAGGAGGCGACTCTGGGCGCCCACAAGGTGATCGAAGGCCTGGACACGGGCCTGCAGGGCATGTGTGTGGGAGAGAGGCGGCAGCTGGTGGTCCCCCCGCACCTGGCACATGGAGAGAGCGGAGGTGAGCAGAGGCTGGCCTGATGGCTTTCCTCCTCCCCTCTGCCCCTGCCCCCTGGAGCCTGGATGGCTGCTGGCAGGAGTGAGGCCTTCCCGATGCTTCCCATTCCATGCCCCACTCTCCAGCTCCCAAGGCAGGAGCCGAGGCCTGTAGGCTGGAAGCGCACTGGGCAGGCAGTGAAGCCGGGCCCAGACCCTTCCCTCTCTCTACTCCTCTCCTCCCTCCAGCCCGGGGGGTTCCTGGAAGTGCTGTGCTCCTGTTTGAGGTGGAGCTGATGTCCCGGGAGGATGGGCTGCCCACAGGCTACCTGTTTGTGTGGCACGAAGACCCTCCTGCCAACCTGTTTGAAGACATGGACCTCAACAAGGATGGCGAGGTGCCCCCGGAGGAGGTGGGTGAGGAGTTCGCTCCTAGTAATCCTTCCCACGCTGTCACCTGGCAGGAGCCACCTTGCACGGTGGCATCTAACGAGAACACAGTGTGTGTCCGCCATCCTGTCTGCACCCGTGTTGCTGCCCCTCTGCGGGTCCGTGTGCCTTAAGCCCCTCATCCCGCCTTCGCCTCTGGCACATGCAGCCCACTGCCCCGTGGCTGCCCGACGCTGGGCACGCCCTCCGCCCCCGCCCCCCTCAGGACGCAGCCCCAACCAGCTCCTCTCCTCAGTCCTCGCTGGAAGGCCTCCGCCTGGGGACCCGTCCCAAGGTGAGCACAGCTGCTCAGGCAGGATGCTCTCTCCCCCTCCCCTTGGCTCTCCTCGCTGCAGTTCTCCACCTTCATCAAGGCTCAAGTCAGTGAGGGCAAAGGACGCCTCCTGCCTGGCCAGGACCCTGAGAAAACCATAGGAGACATGTTCCAGAATCAGGATCGCAACCAGGATGGCAACATCACCGCCGAGGAACTCAAGCTGAAGTCGGATGAAGACCAAGAGCGGGTCCATGAGGAGCTCTGAAGGGCAGAGGCCTGGGCCCAACTGCAAAGGTCGTCGAGGGGGACAGCGGGCAGTGGGGCTGACTTCCCAACAGTCACCCTCCCCTCTGCTGGCATGAGGTCTGGAAGTTTCTAGAAAGTGGTCAGAGGGGACAACTCTGGTTTTCCCATTGCCCGAGAGTAAAATCCACAGCACAGATCTCTATTTGGTTTTTCTCTCCCAGCCCCAAACCCCTTCCTTAAAAGTTTTGGAATTACAAAGCCAATCTGGGGATTGGTGGAGTTTGGGGGTTGGCTGGGGTCATTGCTGGCCCCTTGCTCAGACCTCCCCTCCGTGTCACCAGACACTGAGGAAGGCCAAGCTCATAATTTCCTTCTCTCCCCAAACTTCCCCTTTACCTGTACTTTTCCTCACCATCCTCAACCCACACCCCCCCCCGCCCCTGCCCACAGCCCCCATTCCTCTGTCCTGGCAGCTCCCCAGGAACATGAACCCCCAGCTTTCCTCCCTCGGCTCCAGCTGGTTCCTAGGGAAGGGGACGGTTCCGGGGGGGCAGCCCTACCTTACCTGTCCGGTTCCCTTCACCTGTCCCACGCCCCCTCGCTGCCGTCCAGTGGTGGCTGAAGAGCCCCTAGGGTGCTGCACTTCAGGGCTGGGCTTTGTGTCTCCTTTTATCCCTAAAGAAGGCTGCCTTCTCTAGGGACCAAAGAACAAGAGAAAAATGAAGGGGGGTGGTATGAGGAAACCTACTTGGATGGATCTTAGGGCTATGAAATCCTTGGTTCGGGGCTGAGATAAATGTGGAAAAGGGGCTCATTATTGAGGGGGTGGGGGGGGGTGGGCAGAGCTCTGCACACTCAAAAGGCTAAACTGGTGTCAGACCCCCTTCTCCTTTGTGCCAAATAAAACACGTCCGAAACCAAAGTCCTCGGGATGCAGTCTTTCTTGATTGGGGGCGGGAAGCTTAGACCTAAGTGTTGGGAGGAAGGGGAGCAAAGCAGGCCATCTCCATGGCCCTTCTGCTCAAGACCCTGTGTCCCTAGGTCTCAGCCTCCTGCCTCCATGAGGCCCTCACCATGGAGGGAGGCTGGGGGGTAAGTGTCCACAGAGAGAGGCCTGCAGGGGAGGCCTGGAGACATGATCCTGATCTCCTAAGGGTCCCAGTTGAATGGAAAAACAAGTTCCCTGAACTCAAACACAACATGCAAAGCTCAAGGGTTAAATTAAACCACACAGGTCAGATTCCCCTTTCACACAGATCGTTTCTAATATGGCGATGTTCCCACCTCTCCCTGCTCCTGGCCGCCAGCTGTTACCACCTGCCTGGTGCTTCTCCCTCCTGCCAGAAAGAAAGGTAATGGAGTTCAAACCTCTGGTGTCTTGAGGAAGGAGTTGCTTCAGCCACTAATCAGGCCATCTGCCCTCACCTGCCTGGCTGGACTCTGGCCTGTGCGACAGAGATGACCCAAGCCATCCAAGGAGGTGGGGTGGGGGGGATGCTTGGGAGAGAAAATGACTGGATTCACACCCCAAACTGCCCCCACAAGCACCGAGCTCTTGCCCAAGATCCCCCGAGAGACGGAGCTGCTCCCCACGGTCGCCAGCGTCTGATACTCCCTGGTCCCAAAGCACAGAAAGCACCTCGGGGTCGACAGAGGTGACAGCCTCAGATGATAACCACCCTCCCCCAAGCCTAACGGGACAGCCTGAACTAAGTCTGTGTGGAGGCAGCGTGATGCAGAAGAGAAGGCTGGCTCTGTCGGAAACACTGCAACCCCAGCTTGAGCTCCCAGCTCTGGCCTTTGGGCAAAGGACTGGTCCTTTCTAAGTGGACCCATACCTCCTGCAGGATCCCTGTGAGGATGAAGCGGCACCTGCAGCACCTGGGTGCACACAGCTGGCCCTCAGTCAACACTCCCATCACTTTCTCCGCTGAGCTGCAGACAAACACAACTTACCAGCCACCAGGCAGGCGGATGAGGGAATGAATCCGACTACCCTGAGCACCGGCTCCCTTCAGGTCCCGACTCAACCGCCCTTAAGTCATGCACTTTAGTGGCCGTGGAGGAGGAGGAAGGACAGGAGCCAAGGGCCCCAGTGAAAATCCACACTCATATGGATCACTTTAGGGACCCATAAAGAGGGGGCTCTGCATACAGGGCCGGCCAGATTCAGCTGATCCCAGCTGAATTTCAAGTTTAACGGCTGCAATGAGAATCAAGTCAAACCATTCCAGGTCAGAAACACACCCTTCCAACCCTGCCTGCCCACCGTGATGCCCACAGACACACTAGGCTGTGCTCGCTGTGCTCAGAGTCTCCTGGGCTAATTCAGGGGTTTTCAAACTGTGTTCCATGGAGCTCTAGCAGCTTCTCGGAGGTTCCTGAGCCTCCAGAACCAGGAGGTACAGGCTCTGCCCCACCCCAATCGGAACAGCTCTGTGTTTTCCTTTTTTTATTTTGATCTGTTTCACATATTAGATTTGTTTGAAGAGCAGCTTCCCATGTTAAAAAATACTGGAAAAAAGATTCCCAGGACCAAATGATTCCTAAAGTGCTAACACTGTGTAGGTCCACAGTTCATCTGGAATGGCTTTTGCTGCCCTCTGGGCTGGCAGGGCTCCCTCAAGGCTCTGGAGAACACAAACCACGAAGCCGGGGGAAGGGGGAGGGAGGGGCGTGGGCCAGCAGCTCCCGGCCGCCCGGACTCTTCTCTGCAGCACAGGCAGGAGCAGTGCTCAGAGCAGAGTAGCCTTCCGGTGAAGCCCGTCCGCACCACAGCCCGCGGGGCCTGACCCCGGCCGCCCTCAGGAGCCCTGCATCTCTGTCCAGTCCCTCTGCCGCAGGACGTGCTGCAGCAGCCCGTTGACCACGTCCAGCGTCTCATCCTTCTCCAGCACGATGTCATACGAGTCCATGTAGCGCTCCCGCCGCTCCTCCACCTGCCGGGGGAGCAGAGACCGAGAGTCCCCCAGCGCCCTGCCCTCCGCGTTGCCCACCCGGGGCTGGGGAAGAGGACATTCAAGCTGCGACTCCCCGGGAGGAGTTCAAGGTTACCGGGACCTGCCCTTTGGAGACACAGATGGCCATGGATGCAGGCTGCCACAATTAACCCTTGGGTCAGTGCCAAAAGGACCATCACAACGATTAGAAACAAAAACTATCAGACGTTACCTCCAATCTACCTGGATCGAATCTTCACAAGGCTTCAGCACCTGCTGGCTGAGGGTGAGAACTGGAGGCCTTCTAGCCTGATGCCATACTGTGCCCCTCTGTGACCTTATGTTTTCACCCCTGTTAACCTCTGGTCTGCTCCTATGCTTTCCTTCTCTAAATTATAAACCCACATCCTGAATACCAACATCTCCCATCTCAGTCATGCCTTACTGGTATGATTTAGGAGGACCGGTAATCAGCCCAACCACTTTCTAAACTATGTCACCTTGGGCAAGTTACTTAACCCCCTTGCCTCAGTTTCCTCATTTGTAAACTGGGTATAACAGTCACTACCTCAGAGTATGACTGTACAGATGAACTGGGTTAATGTGCGCGGCACTCGGTAAGTGTGGGCTCTGATGACGTGCTCTGACCTCTGGGTCACGCCGTGTGCTTCGTGCACAGCTGTAACCACTGGGTATTTCTTTTGTTTCCTATGAGACTATGGCTTGTGTCTGACCTCTGTGCCTCTCATACTTCACACAGGGTCTAGCCCACAGAAGGTGTTCAATAAGCACTCGTTAACAGGAATGAAGGAGAAGCCGGCCATGAAGAACCCGGGTCTCCTACCTACCTTGTCATTTAGGAAGCCAATCTTGAGAATGTTCTCCACGCCAGGAACCCCATCAGCCATAGTGAGGTCCCCCATGGAGTCTCCCAGCAGGAGGATGTTGGTTTTGCCCTGAAGCTGCTCGAAGTAACCAGAGTTCTCGCACACGGAGCTGTTCTTGTTGTAGGTGTGTATGAGCTGGCCCTTGAATCCCTTTAGGAAGCCCTAAATAATCAAGACAAGAGACAGACAGAAGGACTACAAAGACCCATTCAGGACCAGTGTTCCACTGTCTCTGCCACAGAGGAAAGGGAATCCTGAAAGCCACAGACAATGCCAAAATTTCATTGTGATCCAACTAGGGCTCAGCAAGCTAAGGCCCGTGGACTAGATTTGGCCTATTTTTGTAAATTGCTTTGCTGGAACACAGCCAGGTCCATTTGTTTACATCTTGTTTACCGGCGCTTTTTAGTGTGACAGAGTAGCTGCGACAGGGATCATATTGCCCGCAAAGCCCGAGATACTTACTACCTGGTCTTTCACAGAAAAAGTTTACAACCCCTGGTTTAAATTAACAGGAACCATCAAATATTGTTGATCACCTACTCTGGTGAAAGCATGAAGCCCGTGATACAAGCGCTGCCTGGCTACATGTGCGCTAACCTCAGCTGTGGGCCACACCCTAACCACAGGTCAAAGGGATGAAAATTCCAGCCTTGGTTTTAAGGGGAAGAAGTCAGAACACGGGTGAGTCAGAGCAGCCCACCTCTGGCTCAAGAAAAACAAGTCCAAGTCCAAGCCCTTGAGTACCTAGGATGGCACACGAGCCATGACAGTGACACGGGGCCTGGCTGAGCCCTAAACTCAGTCCTCCCTGGCAGAGTCGACTGTCAGCCAAACACCCAAGAGTGGGTCCTTCAAAAGCGACTGTCTTTAGCTGGCACTAATAAATAAATAACTGCTGAGGGCAAAGAAGCTGGCATGCCTTCCCTCCCCCCTCCCCCATCAGGGTTAACATTTAGGGTGAAACACCCTGGCTGGCGGTCCCCACGCCTCTTCCAGCCCCAGCTCACATCTTCATCAAACTCCATGTAGTTAGAGACGATGTGGATGTTCGGGTGGAACACTTTCCTCTGCCGCATGATTTCTTCCAGGATATCCCCAACGCCCGCGGAGAAGATGAAAAGGGGAACGCTGTTCTGGGAGAGGGTGTTGAAGAACGTCTTGTATCCATCCCTGAAGTGACATGAACGGTTCTGAAATGGCACTGCCTCTGCGACTGTTCTTTATTTTCTATTTGGGTTACATCTTTAACATTTTTAAAAAACATTTTAAATTGTGGTATAAAATACATACAGTAAATTATTAAAGTGAACTAATCTTAAGTGTTCAGCTCAGTTAATATTTACATATGTTCACACACATGTACTTACTAATCAGGTCAAGATTCCCTCATGTTCCTTCCCAGTCGATGCCATCACCCCCATTTTGACTTCACATCACCATTGATTTGCTCTCTCTGCCCCTGAACTTCATATACACCATATAACCACATTTTTTGTTTGTTTGTTTGTTTGTTTCTGTATTATTTTGCCTGAGCAAAATACCACCAGGCAGCTATCCTGAGGCAGCTTCACTGGGGAACACCTCCAACCCACCCAGGCACTTACTGGGTCTGCACGTGTCTACTCTCCTGGCTTTCCACGAGCTAGCCTCTCTCGCCAATCAGGACACACAATCCTTGAGGGAAGGCACCCGTGTTGACTCCTTCCTCTACGTGCCCTCATCCCTCCTCCAGTAAAGAACGCTCCAGCAGACAGCTGCACTGTGAAGGCCACGGATGATCAAGGGCCCTAGGTCAGCCAACTCCCACGTCTGGATAAAGAACACCAGTCACCATGGGGACCCCAAAAGTCTTTTTATCATTGGGAAGAATGAGCTAGACGCTGTTTGCTCTAGGAGATGGAGCCCTGGTCATATTCACACCACATCCACTACCAGCAGACTGCATCCTAGGACACACCCAAGGATAGAAAATTCTCTGGCTGTGTCCAGAGAGGAAAAGCAAGACCTTCTCCACGTCATCTACTCATGGTGCTACATCGCTTCTGACTCTCCCAGCAACTGACTCCTCTTCGATTCTTCCCAGCCTCTCTTTT